CAGGCAGCTGGTTCCACAACCATCAAATCTCACAGAACTGGACAGTGCTATTCATCAGGCATGGTGTCAGATTCCTCACATCACCTTTCAACATCTTGTGGAGTCAATGCCAAGAAGAATCGCCTCAGTATTGAAGGCAAAAGGTGGCCCAACGAAGTACTGATGGGGTGGTCATAATCTGGCCACTCAGTGTATTTTCAACTGTGGGGGGTTGATACTGAGAACTCTGGCATCTAAACCCCAAGCTGGTGCCCCCAGGAGAGAGCACCAGACCTGAGAAAGGTGGGCTGTGAAAACCAGCAGGATTGCTATTTGCCAGGGAGTGATGACTTGAAATGCAGGTGGACTCCTAAAGGGCCAACCCACAAATTTTTGTGCAGCTACTAATGTTGGGCTTCGGCAGAGGGAGAGCAGAGTGGACAGTAGCTGTGAGCAGAAGCCAAGATTGGGGCTCTGGGGTTGGAGCTTGGAGGGCAGATACCTTGGTTTTCTGTGCTGAGTTTTTCCCTCATGCTGCTGAAGACATCTTTCTCAGGCAGACCTTGGCTATCCAGGCGATTTTTGACTGTGGGAGAAGACAGTTGCCCTACCTTATTGGGAAACCCCTTGTCACACCCTGTGGTGTTTCAGAGGCCCATTAACAAACTGAGAATAACAATTAGTATCCATGAAGGAAAAATACCACATGATCTCACTCATTCATGGATAATAAAGACCATTATAAACTTATGAACAAAAATAGATACAGTGGCAGAGCTGCCTCAAACAGAGTGTCAAACTACAGCAGGAAGGCCGGGGAGGGTAGGGGGGCAGAAGGGGGGCGGTAAGAGCTCAACTGAAGGACTTATATGCATGCATATAAGCATAACCAATGGACATAAGACACTGGGGGGTAGGGGAGGCCAGGGGATTGTCAAAGGCGGGGGGAAAAAGAAGACATATGTAATACCCTTTGTAATACTTGAAGCAATAAAAAAAAGAAAAAACAACAACAATAATTAGTATCCAGGCAGATGCAATTGGCCATACCCTGCTGGAACACCTCTCGCCCTACCTGTGTAAGATTGCCTTATGCTACTCAAGACTGGATGCAGTCTGTTTGCAGGCAGAGGTGGATCTCTGGAGGCTTTGAGTCTTTACCTTATATAATTAGTCAGAAACAGCATTTGACACTGTCCTGCGCTAGAGATTGGGAAGTATAGCACATCTACCTAATACACAGTCACAAAGCCAAACAGACAGCTGAAATGAGTAGACAAGAAAACAGCCCTTAAATGAAAACAGGAGAATTCTCCAGAAGAAGACCTAAATGAAATGGAGATAAGAAATTTATAAGATATAGAGTTCAGAATAATCATGGTAAACATGCTCAACAGCATGAAAGAAGATATAGTAACTATTAAGAATGACATAGCACAAATAAAGAACAAAATGGAAGGGATACAAAGCAGATTAGGGGAAGCCAAGGATTGAATTAGTGAATTAGAAGACAGGGTACAAAGAAATCAATCAGAGAGCCAAAAAGAAAAAACAAAAACAAAAAACATGAGGATAGCTTAAGGAGCTGTGGGACAACGTGAATGTAACAATATTCAAATAGCAGGTGTGCCAGAAGGAAAAGAATGTTTGCAAGGGATAGAGAACCTGTTTGAAGAAATAATGGCAGAAAACTTACCTGTCCTGGTGAAGGAAAATGTCTCAAGTTCCTAAGGCACAGAGAGTCCCAAGTAAGAAGATCCCAAACGGGCCCACGAACAGACACATCATAATTAATGCCAAAGATTAAAGACAGAGAGAATTTCAAAGGCAATAAGAGAAAAGCAATTTGTTACCTATATAGGAGTTCACATAAGGCTGTCAGCTAATTTCTCATCAGAAGCTCTACAAGCCAGAAGGGTAAGGCATGAAGTACTCAAGGCAATGAAAAGCAAAGATCTGAAAAAAAAGATTACTATATCCAGCAAGGCTATCATTCAGTATAGATGGGGAAATAAAGAGCTTTTCAACAGAAAGGGCTAAAAGAGTTTATCACCACCAGATCAATACTATAAGAAATGCTCAAGTGACTGCTGTAATGAGAAGAAGAAATAGAGAGAGAGTGAAACATAGGCATAAAATGGGAATAAATAAGTACCTATCAATAATAACCTTAAATGTTAATGCATTAAATGCTCCACTCAAAAGGCCTAGGGTAGCTTAATGGATACAATAACATGACCCAATTATATACTGTCGAAAAAAAACCCGCTTGAGAACAAAAGTTAAAGAAGATTGAAATCATATCAAGCATCTTCTCAGATCACAGTGGAATGAAAATAGAAATCAATTACTAATTGATTTAGTAAAGATACCAAAAATTCCACATGGGAT